CCCCCCCGGACGGACCCGTCGCTCCGTGGACAGCCGCTCCCCCGGGCTTACAGACTCACTGCAAAACAACGGCGACGCAAAACAATCCACTCCAGGCCGACGTCCGCGTCATCGCATCCAGGTCTGTAACCCTCGCAGTGCCGCCCTCAGCGAATCTGCCGCTCCAGGCAAACGCCTTGTTTGCCTCGTGGCAGATACGCCCCTGAGTGGAGGTGTGCTCTCATAAGCTGCAAGGAATTGTAGGACTCCTGTATCGGAATTGTAGGAAGCCTCTGTATCATAACAGTTAAAGAAGAAGTAGTGGGAGAGTAAAATATACTCTTCCCAATGGGTTGAGTCAGTGGGTGACAACTAGGGTTGTACAGATACCAAGTACAGTACTCGGTACAAGTATGAGTACATGTACCGATACTTTTGAGCTCCAAGACTAGACTAGAGAAAATTTCAAAAATTAGTAGGCAGCTGTCATTTGTAAGGAGCACACGGAGCGCCTGGGATTTGTACATCTCTGTTTTAATGTGTGATTTTGTTTTTATAAATATAAATAAAGGGATGCACAGATACCAGTTTTGTGAGTACGAGTACTGGTACTTGCTGAGTACTTACAAGTACGAGTACTGATACATTTTTGTTTATTGTCATGTTACAGTTTTTCTAAAACAATACAGACTAATTATTTCAGGGCAGTGGTGGAGTGCCAGAGCCAGGTCCCAGCTGCAACCGCTGCAACCCGGGTAGTTCTCATGAAAATGCCAAGTATCTGCATTGGTACTCGAAAAGTATCTGTGCATCCCTAGTGACAACGCAGCTGTCACACACCGGCTCTAAAGATCGAGAGCTGAGCAATCACAAACTGCTGATCACTCAGCTCACGACTTCTCCCTGCAGACAGTGATTCCCACCTCACCTTTCTGTTACTCCAGTGCTCAATGGACGGACAGACAGGGGAAGGGGCGGGCACAGCCGGCTCTGGCTCTAGAGCTTGCTCTGGGCACAGCTGGCTGACTCTGACAATCAGGCAGCAGGGTAAATCCCAACAATATTGTCAGCATCCATCCTGGCTGCAGAACGGCTCTGCACTGTCAGCATATGTTAGACAGTAGCCTGCTAGATGCTGAGTTTGGGTCATGAGAGTACTGTTGGAACTTCTTGCACAGTCTCACAGAGAAATGCAAGCACACAGTCAGATATGCATGCTGCACATGGCTTGGAAAACAGGAAGGAAGCCACAGCTTTATTCTCTACCTTATTCAATACAACAGAGTATATACCATAGATATAACAGAACTTATCAACACTGCCATCTACTGACCAAAAATGTATACTGCAGGAGTTGTTGTAATAGTTACATAGTATTTGAGGTTGAATAAAGACACAGGTCCATCAAGTTCAACCTATTTTGTGTATGTTTGTGATTCTGCATGTGTACTAGTCCCCATGTGATCTTATTTTTAATAGTACCTGTACCTCTGTATGTTCCGGTCTCTGAGGAAATTCTCCAAATGTATTTTGAATGATTCAACACTCTACACTGATACCACTGCTTGTGGAAGAGAGTTCCAGACCCTAACTGCTCTAATTGAAAAGAAGCCCCTATGCCCCTTGTGCTTAAATCTTTTCTCCACCAGTTTTAGGTGGTGACCTCTAGTCCTTGTTATGGAGTTTACCATAAAACGTTTGTTGCTGATGTTGCTATCACCATTGAACATCTTGTACATCAAAATCATGTCCCCCCTTAATCTCCTCACTTCCAGCGTGAACATGTTTAAGTTTAGTAATCTTGTCTCATAGCTTTGGTCCTCCATCCCCTTAATTAGTTTAGTTGCGCTTCTCTGGACTCTCTCCAGCTCCGGGACATCCTTCCTGTGTATTGGTGACCAAAACTGGACCGCATACTCCAGATGAGGCCGAACTAGTGATCTATAAAGTGGCAAAATTATTGCTTTGTCCCTACAGTACATTCCCTTTTTAATACAAGACAGTACTCTGCTCGCTTTGTTTACCGCAGCCTGGCACTGCAAGCTATTATTCAATCTGCGGCCTACAATGACCCCCTTTTCCATCTCTGACTTCCCTAGTGGAGTTCCCATTAATGTGTATTCTGCTTGTCTATTTTTAACCCCAAAGTGCATTACTTTACATTTATCGACATTCAACCTCATCTGCCATATTGTTGCCCACCCCCCTATTTTATCCAAGTCCTAGATACAATAATGTGTATTCTAACAAGTCCATTAGTAAATCTGCTCCGGTGACACATGAGAAGTAAAGCCAAAAAAAAAAAGGTGGGCGTAATAAACATTACTTATGGAGTTCAATGAATAACACATAGAATGTTATATTAAGCATTACCTTATAAGAGAGTGTCAGAAAACTGTGAAGGGCGTCTAGATTCTCAATAAATTCCATTAGATTTCCCCCCAATGTTCTCAACATTCTGTCATATCCAGACTTCTTACAAAAGGAAAAGAAATACTGTCCAAACAGCTTTAAAACTTCTTCCTCTGATACTTCTGAAAATATAATGATACATTTATACTGTTGAACGGTACGGTACAGAGCTAAAGTGTGTCTAAAGCCAAAACTCCTTGGTAAGGTTTTAATTGCTGTCTCTGTCCTTGCTGGAAAGATTCACACTTTCTATTTGTCCCGGTGACCATTATTACTATGGCAAAAAGTGATGAGAAATCCAAAATTTATAGTTGTCACTGGGACACAAAAAGAGGGGAAATCTTCTACAGCTGTCCAGGATGAGTTTCCCCTCACTTTGGAGAGAATTCAATAAAAGTTAATCTCCCCAATGGAACACATACAGTAATAGTTTTACTATTGTACTTTAATTTTCATTTTTATATGGCAATGGCAAATTATTCCATTACATCTGCCCTCAGCATCTGGTGATAGATTGACTGGTTTCAGGTCAATCAGCCTGGAGATGTTGTGTGTGGGGGCTACAAGAGTGGAAAGAGAACTAGGTGAATCAGAGACAGGGAAGTAACATGAGAAAGAAAAAGGAAGTGCATCAAATTAGGGATAGATTAGGTAAAAGTGGGCAGGAGGAGCATATCAATATCGGAGAAAGTGAATCAAGAAATGGAAGGTAGGAGTATTGGAAAATATGGAAGAAACACCGGAAGGGCAGGACAGGTAGGGATCACCGGCAAGAGGAGGTGGTAAGGGGTGGATAGTGTAAGGAAGTTTACACTTTAAACCTTGCACATGGAGTAAACATCAAGGCTTTAGTTTTTTTGTGGTGATAAAACAAGTTAAATCAAAGCTGTATTCCAAAATAACAATAACAGAGCACTTACTAAGCATATTGGAAGCTTCTTTAACCATTCGTATTGTAATTACATCGTCATAAACTTCATAAGTCATAAATGTATCCTGAACACCAGCTAAACTTCTGCAAAACAAATATACATCTATTCAGCTTTAGCATTGGCCAGATATACATTAATGCAGTGTTATACACAAGAACACTAATTTACTGTATATATTAGGGAGTCCACCTTGGGCAGAACTAATCAGGGGTTAATTTGGGAGGGAAGGTACTTACCCTTTAGACCTGCCTATTAAAGTTCCCAGAGAGAAGAGACTTGGAACAAAGAGAAAGAGGCTCTCTATAGCTGCATGGAAGCAGGAGGGCCATGCTGACAGCCAGCTTAAAGTGTATGCTACCCCTAAATTTAAAAGTCCATATATGTGCCTGTGTTTGCATGTAGCTTTGTGTACATGTAGCTTCTTTTCTTTTTTTTATTTATTAATTTACTATTAAGTATCTGTGCTCC